TTATTTTCAGGTAATGTTGATGTGGGAAGAACAGCTAAAATAAGGAATTGGAGGGTATTTGTTAGAGGAGTGGAGGTCCTAGTTGCCAGGAAGCACAGCCTGGGGCAAGAGCTTTGGCAGCAGGGGTTTGAGATTCAAGGATAAAACTATTTTTAGGGGAAAGTAGAAAAGTTTGGGTGGCATGAGCATTTGAGTTTAAATATCATCTTTGCAAGACAAAGATGGATTTTATGGAGCAAAACATTTTGAGGCCTCTTTTCAGGATAATGTTTCTAGCTAAAATTTTTATACAGTATTTGTATAAAGAGGTAAAAATCTATATTTGTATAAAGAGGTAAAAATCTTTGTATATATTTTTCAGTAAAATATGGCGACTTTTTAAATGCAGGACAAATAGAAGCCAGGATTAGGATTTCTATCATTCAGATGACATAATTTGCCTTTTTAATGCTGTTTTTTAAAGAAGTTGTCATAGTTCATATGTATATTTCTCAAGAGGGATGTATATTTATGGATCATATGGAAGAAAATGCAATAGGAAATCAGAGGATTTTGCCCCTTTCGCTGTAGAATGTATGTATATTTAATGTAAATGGTAATAAATTAGATAACATGCATGTGGCCATTTGCCAAGTGGTAACTTAGTATGATATGCAGGTAACTAAAGGATAAGCTGATAGCTGGTATTGCTGTGCCAAGTGATGCAAAGTGGTGGTAGGTATTATAACACTTGTGCTTCTCTAGATTTCTGACTTGGTGCAGACATGTACTGTACTAAGTTTGTGGAACAGCCTATCAGTTTACTAGATGGGTTATACCCCTACTGTGGTAAATTTCATTAGCAATTATGTGTTGTGACATTGATTCCAACTTATGGTGACTCTCCCAGCATTTTGTAGGTATGAGATTCTCGGAAATGGCTTATCAGTCCCTCTTTCTCGGGACATTCTGGCATCATGCAGCTTCCTCAAGCCTATAGAAGTGGCAGGGCATGTAACCACATTGGCCAAACAAGTTTCAGGGGATTGCAGCTGACCTACGCAGTGGAGTAGGGATTCAAACTTTTAGGCCGCCCGCCTTCTTAGCCAGGTGCTCCAACCCACTGAGCTATGCCAAGCAATTGCAATGAGTTACTAACTGCATAAGTGGTCGCCGGTATTCATTAATACAGTTGCTCTTAAAATTATGCCAAGATAGTATCTAATGATTTTTATAATAGGTGATAGGAGTTATAAGTACAGTATATCAAACTAATGCTTTTTAGTATGGGTTTGACTTTTCTGCCCTCTGATATATTTTTAAGATGCAAATCAAGAAACAAGCATAGCTCAGTGGATTGGAACACTTGGATGTAGAGCCAAGCTGCATGGTCCAAGTAAAATTACTTTATTTCTAAAGAAATGACAACAACCTTGAAAAGGTCATAATGAGTTTGAAATGGACTTGAAATACAATTTATTTTTCTTTGTCAGTTCCATTTATTGATATTGTAAAGCTTTGCTGCTTCACAAAGTGACACAGGACAAGCACTGAGTAGGCCTTTTTTATTTTTATTTATTTTTTTGCCATTCATTTTGGTCTAAAATACCAAGTCAGGTTTGGATGCGTGAAAGCTATCTTTTAAGCAAGCCCAGTTGGTGACATCACACTGTTATTGCAAATCATGAGGTATATATGAGTTCACGTATTGGAAGAAAGGCAGCATATAAATAAAAATAAATATACATGAAACCATCAACTTTGGTTCTGATGTTTTCACTTTGTGGCATATGGGTCAAAAATAGTGGTACAGCATCTTTAGTATTAAACCAGCAGTTTATAAGTGAGTAAATATATTAATCACTCTACCTTAATGTTTTCAACTCTTACGAATTTTCTGTTTAAAAATGCTTATGTTCTTAGCAGTTTAGAAGACACCTTGTACATAAAGGTTTTCTGCTTATAGTCTGGTTTGTGACATCAAACTGTACATAAGACTGTTATGCCTGACTGTGTATGAATAAACTTTGCTTAAGTGGGACAAAGTTGTCTAATACCATACTTCGAATGAGCTATAGGAACTTCTTTTGTTTGAGCAAGCCAATTAAATTTGTCTGCTGGTTCAAACTTGTGAAAGAGAGAGGGATGAAGGAAGTAATTTGAATAAAGACAGACATTATAATTTGGGTCTTTTCACGCCATTTCTAGATGTAAGTTAATATTTAAATACAAGAGGTCCGTGTAGTGGATGGATAGATTGTTCCTTGCTGATTAACTAATATTCATCAGATTTTGTTGGGATTTTTGAGTACTTTGAATAAAGACAGACATTATAATTAGGATCTTTTCACTGCCATTTCTAGATGTAAGTTAATAATATTTAAATACAAGTGGTCCATGTAGTGGATGGATAGTTTGTTCCTTGCTGATTAACAAATATTCATCAGATTTTGTTGGGATTTTTGGGCGTGGGTGGGACCACATTTGATTATGTGTATATGAGGGTAATAGGCTTCATCCTGCCTATCCAGTCCAAGCCAGGTCCATTCTAGTTGTGTTTGTTGTGAGGGATACCACCCTGGTTTCAGAAGGTAATTAATTCCTTCTAAAAAGACAAAAAATCTTCAGTCATTGAAGGAAGTTATTCTAAGACTTTTGAGGGTATATTTTTGTTTAAAATTTCAGTAGATTAATTCAACACAGAGACAGATTTTCAACCCTCCCTTGTCTTGCACTGAAGTGAGGTGGGGTGGGGCTGTCGGCTCCAGGCTTTCCTGGATGAAACAGATTTTTAGATCCATTTCATTTTGGCTTTCAGCCATATTTTGGGGCTGACACTGCTTTGGTTGCCGTCATTGCTGACCTTCATTTCCAGAGAGTGACCTCTTAGCAACTTCCAATACCATCAACCATGGTATCTTTTCAGAGTGCCTGTAGATCTTGGAGGTACTGCCTTGTGATGTGTTTATGTGTACTTGGCCCCAGCTGACTGGTGAAATCATGGACAAGTTTTTGACTGGAGGTGGCAATATACTGGTAAGAGTGTTCTAGCTATGTGCTCTCAATGAAAAACTGTTAAAGCATCCCCAGCCAAGAACAACAAGGGTTGAATTTGGAAATTCAGGAGTAATCCCAAGATACAATCAGAGGAGACTTGTGATGTGTTTATGTGTACTTGGCCCCAGCTGACTGGTGAAATCATGGACAAGTTTTTGACTGGAGGTGGCAATATACTGGTAAGAGTGTTCTAGCTATGTGCTCTCAATGAAAAACTGTTAAAGCATCCCCAGCCAAGAACAACAAGGGTTGAATTTGGAAATTCAGGAGTAATCCCAAGATACAATCAGAGGAGAATAAACTCGTTAAAGCATCCCCAGCCAAGAACAAGGGTTGAATTTGGAAATTCAAGAGTAATCCCAAGATACAATCAGAGGAGAATAAACTATAATTCCAAATAAGAAGATATGGTCAGGAATGCATTTTATCATCTTTAGATGTACCAGCCATGCTTTGTGTGGCGGGGTCCTGATGTTTTAGAAAAATGCAAATTTGGGTCAGCTGTTTTGTACCAGGTGTTGAAGAACATCATAACTTAGAGTTCCTCGCTACTTCTCAGTTTCCTTAAACTCGGTGCAAAGCTGCCCCCTTCCTGCCTTGCAGACCTTGGTGATACAACCTGTAAATCATGATTGGGTAGCTGCTCGTGTTGGCCACTTTTGTGACACCTGATTATAATGATGGTACATTACTTCACTGATATTGATATGTTCATCTGAGGTTATTACAGACTGTTGCTTGAAGTATTTTCCCATATGATTGCTAGGTCAGTTTTTTAATGATTGATAGAACCAGAGAGTTAAAAACTTGAGAATCCAGCATTTCTTGCAAAGGCAGTGACTATTAGGCTACAGGTGATTATTTCCCTTAAGATACCACTTAAGGTATCCAGGAATTAGTGGAGGAGACAGATAAAGTGGACAAAATGTGATTCCTTATATCAATCTTGTTTCTGCATTTCATTATTTTTCTGGATTTAATGTACCCATCACTGGTAAAGTAAAATGCTATCCTGGAAAGTGCTGTAGCAGGTGGATCAAAAGTTAAAGCACTTATGTGTACTTCACTGTAACTTCAGATTTGAATGGAACAACTTTATTAGCATGCTATATTTACAGTACATAAATACTAAAATAATCAGTTACTAGGAAGTTTGGTGTTTCTTTCAAAATCATTGAAACAATCGAGTAGATAGACATGGAAAAGACTGGAAGATGAAGATACTTCCTAATCTGGTATCTAAGATACAGAGAAGTTCAAGAAGGTAGTACTTGGACTCATTGAATGCACACTGGACTTTGGAGTGAAATGCGCACAAATTGTCATTACTGTGACTGACTCATCAAAAGCAGAAGTGAAGGGAACACAAAGTGTCTACAACCCATGGAACCTTACTAATGGGATTACACATTTGTCCACTAACTTGTACAAATTGTTTTTTCTTCTGATATTGATAGTATATATTACTGTAGTTGCTTCAGTGCAACTTCTGTAAAAGAATTGAAAGGGTTAATCAGCTGGCATAAGACTTTTTGGGTAATGTAATGGTAGGCATCATGCTGCTAGACCGCTTCAAGATGGCAAGACTGGTATTGAAGAAGTAGTGTGAAGGTGACAGCCAAAGCAGTAACCTTTACCTTAAAGGTTACTACAGTGGGTTACTACAGTGGGATTTAGTTTTTTGAGAAAACTGCTAAATTAGCTTTTCCATAGGTTATATCAATGAATTACACAGAGCAGCCTGTTCTGGTGATCTGCATATGTACTTTTGAGCATTGGCTTATTCCCACTCAGTGTGTTACAGGAAGTGTTCCAACTGTCAGTTTTTTTTAGAAATCTTGTAGCTCCGTGACTGTTCTGCAGGTTAAAAATTAAATAAATTGCTCTAATTTCACAAGAATGTCTTAGATGAATCTGTTTTTGTGAATTATTCTAATATGTATTACTGTGTGTTTCATTTGCAGGCAGGCAGAAGTCCTGAAGGCTGACATGACAGGTATTGAACTTTGTTTTTCTTTTAAAAACTGCCAGAAACATAAGTGACCAGGTCTCAACAAAAGCTGTGATCATGTATGAATGCGCTTGCAAGGAATGATGGGGGTATTGCCAGCTGAATATGATGAAAGACCATCCTTGCTCCCAACTTTGAAACTGCAAGGATGGATGGGGATCATTCAGTCAAGGTGAGAAAAGGCTGGGATGGTGGTGCTTGTGACTGTCTGTTCTGGCTTGGCCAGCAAAACCAGCAGAACTCTGCAGACATCTGTTCATGAATTAGGATCTATAATATCTATGATTTCAACAGTACCATCTTGCTTCTAGTTGTGCCACCATCCCAAACTCTTTTCCTTCTTTTGAACTGTGAAAACAAAGGAGGAACACTACCCTAAATCACGAACTATATCCAAGAAAGCATGGGCTGAGGGAATTATGTTATTCTTATTATTGATTAACAGAATACATTCATTGGTGGTTAAGTGTTCCACAACTTTTTAATTGAAAGGTTCCAAATGAAAATATGATATTCTAGGATAACCGATGTCTCTCTCTCTCTCTCTCTCTCTCTCTCTCTCTCTCTCTCTCTCTCTCACACACACACCCACACACACACACACACACCCACACACACCC